CTTCAAATATATATAAATTTTATTTAGTTAGTGTTGTTAGTTTTTGCATAATGTGTATTTAAAAAATTCTGGTTTTTTTTGTCTCATACTGTATATTAATTAGGGTAATCTCTAAAATATTAGTTTATAAAATAATACTAAAATTATATTATAATATATAAGCATATAATTCATACAAAGGCAAATTTTAAATAATATATAATTTACTTTACTTTGGCCTGTATATTATCCTAAATTATTTAGCAATTCAAATCATCTAAAATTTAAATTAGCTATTATATATTTGAATAAAAATAGCTATGATATATAATAGGGTAATTATTCATAATAAAATTTTATATTATTAAAATAATTATCTTAGTTATATAAATTATATAAAAAAAATAAAATTTATTTATTATTTATTATTATCATTTTTTATATAAAAATTAACAAAACAATTATAATTGCTACAATAAAGAGATACATTATATGCTATATATTTATTTAACTTTAATATGAAGTTTTACAATACATATTCAAAATTTTTTTATTTGCTAATCAAGTATATCATTAATATGCTTTTTGCTGCTTTCTTCATTCAATAAAATAATTTTTAGATACCATCCATTTATTTGAAAGTTTGAAATATTTTATTACTTTTGGCTAATAAGTTTTTTTTGAATAACTTTTTAATTCTTTTATATTATTTGTAAGCTTAAAAAGATTCCAAATAAGTTTATTGATGAAATTCATTCTGTTTTTAAATTAATCCTACTATTTAAGTAATTCAGAAAATATTAACAATCACAATATCTAATAGTTAGAAAAAAAGAGGCATCCAATTTCTTTATAATGTTTGTTAAGTATTATAATATAATTTCAGTTGATTAGCAACATCTATACACTATTTATATTATTATTATTATTATTGATTACTTTAGAGATTAATAATGAAACTACAGCTTACAAAAAAGAAATACTTAATCAACATTTAAAATTAAAAGATCATGTGATAGTTAAAAAATAAAATAACTTTTTTTGATTCAGAATAAATACTGCATGTATCTTTAGGTAAAAAATAGAAAAGGAGAAAAGAAAAAGAAACAAAAAGAAAATAGAAAAGAAAAGTAAAATGAAAGGAAAATAAAAATGAAAATGAAAATGAATGTATAAATAACAAATATAAAAAATAAAATAAAAACAAAAAATAATAAAAAAATACCTTTGTGATATTAGTACTTAATTCTCTTAATTACTATTTTTCTCATTCTACTTACCATTCTTTACTAATAAGATAATGAATTATTGATAATATAGTAACTAATCTATTTTCTTACCAAAATTTACTACAATATCAGAACAAACATCTCACTCAAGCTTAATATTTTTTTTTATCCTTAGCTCTTTAGGAAATTCAAAAGCTATTTTCAAGTAGTTTTACAAGAACTAATTTTTATTTGCTAAAAATATTGATAAACAGAAACATTAGTAAAAATAATTGTTCATAAAAATATTATATAAAAATTGCTGATATGAAAGTTACGGTCTTGATTTGTCAGATAATTATAATATTTTTCTCGAAAATGAACTTGGAAGTACGGTTTTTCGAGTTACAGTTGAACCACCTACTTCATTTTGGACCCTTTTTACCATAATTCCCCCATTTTTGATCTTACCATGCTGCTGTTGCTGTTTAGCAAATGGTCCGTCCGAAAAGAGAAATTGTGACAACGTTCCGAATCTTGATGCTCCACCTGAATACAGAGACACATCTCCCAGTGTTCCAATTTTTAATAATCCAAATTTTGACGCTCC